AGTACCCACTTGGTCAAGCTGTCTACCTGACAGCTCGGTCAAGTTGGTCGGCATTGCAACGTGAATCTACGTGGGTGGTCCGCATTGCGGTGTGAATCTAAGTAAATGGTCAGCATTGCAATGTGAATCTAAGTGAGTACCTTGTATGCTATTGGTTAAATTTTACTTGCTTGTTGAACTAACATTTAATAAAGCTTTTAGAACTTTGAAGTAACTTGTTTTATGGTGTGTCTGCCTCCCGTGTTTAACGTGGTTTTTTCCCTGACACCATGGTGATTAGAAGGTAACCATTTTTCAGCATCAGAGTACCAGGAAGCTGCTTAATAGATTTCATTACTAATGCAACCCAATTATATGGAATAAGGCTACCAAGAACTACCAAGTCCTTTACATCGCATCCCAATCCAAAATGTGAAACCAAAGACAGAGAGAACAGACCTTTGTGAGAGCTGCAGTATGATCTTCTCCACAGGAGACATAAACAATTTTTTGGGATCTTAGTGACTTCAGAAGATTGGGGACGTATCTATCTAAAAATTGTAATAATTCATAAATTATAAATTGTAGCAAATTACATACACACACCAATGCAGAAATCATCTCATTTGATATATCACTGCCTGCGATAGGAATTTCAACATAACTTAAAAAGTTCATAATTTCACAGGACATACTGCATCAAGCAGCAGTGCAGGGCAACAGGAAGCAACAATTCAGAAAGATACTTAACATAATTCATTCATCTTTTTGAAAGTGCTATTGTTCTGGCAACTAAGGAATGCAGAGCATTGCCAAGTCATGAACTGCAGTTTAGTATGAGCCACAGCTGATTTCAGCAAGGTTTTGTAATTTAGACAGCCCCCATCTATCGACGCAAATATTTTGAGCACTGAGCAAAACAGAGCCATTTTTATCATAAAAGCTAATTTTAAAATCTGCAATTTAGATCTTACCATTTTCATCATTAAGACCAAGCTGTCCAAATTTGTTTCGTCCCCATCCAAAGATTGCTCCAGAAAGCGTAAGTACAAAACTATGAGCACCGCCTGCTGCTATATGAGCAAAAGGGATCCCTAGTAAAGACTTGATTACTTGTGGAGAGGTCTGTTTTTTAAATTCATAACCTAATCCTAACTGTCCATGCTTGTTCTGACCCCAGGAAAAAACTTCACTTCCTGTTGAAAAAAAAAAAGTAGTTAAAAATCACTGTAAGAATCAAGTTTAAGAATCAAATTATTTCATTCAGGGCAAAATTCAAACAAGGCAGAAAGGATGCAGCAGGAAGAGAGGCACATTCAAAATCATATACAAAAAGAAGACTGAAATTAAAACAGGTGAGGGCAACTTGAGATACTCTCACTCCTAAAAGCTGCCACAAGCTGCCCATCTGTCAAACAGATCACAGTACGAAGAAGAGCTTCTTTTTAAATCTGGAATATGGCACATTGCATAGGCCAATAGAAAATGGACTGGCGGTGATACTGTAGAAAAAGAAATAGGCATGGAACACAGTAGATGCATCTGAGCATAGTTAGATAGATATCTAACCAAATGTTTAATGCTCTTTAATATATTTCATTTCCCTAGCACAGTGTTTCTCAGCCTCAGCAACTTTAAACTGTGCGGACTTCAACTCCCAGAATTCCCAAGCTAGCACATGGGCTAGAGAATTCTGGGAGTTGAAGTCCATACAGCTTAAAATTGCTGAGGTTGAGAAACACTGCCTCAGCAAATGATCAGATACATGCCTTATTATACAGAAAATTTTTGTGTGATCTTAGTGGCAGTGAAAGTATTTTGAAAGTAGACAGATAAAAAAGCAGCTAAGAATGTGGTTTACCTTTAGAGAGTGCAAGGGAATGGTAGTAGCCACAGGCCACCTGCACTATTTGGATGTCTGACAAGCTTTTAATGTTCCTAAGAGAAAACAAGAAAGTATTAAATGAACAGCATTTAAAAAAAAAAACAGAAACGTGGAAAACATGACTTCCTTAAGAAAATTGCAAAAATATGTATTAAATACTCAAGGACAACAACCACAGAACATGATTTCTCAATACATAAATAAGAGGTATGACAAGCTTCCAGTTCTGAAGCTACTGTAAATTAACATTTCCTATCCCTTCAGTACCCCAATTTGGACAGCCAAGGTTTGTCCAGGCTAGAGAAGAAACCAGAGTACGAAACCACAATTTGATTCCATTTTATTTTCAATAACTAGAATTTAAATAAACCACACCAAAGTACATTTGGATGTCACAGGAAGTTTAAAATCTAAAGTGAAGGCTATCGATCATTTTCTATTAAATGTAAAAGAACAGGGAGGAACTCTAAATACAGAACTTGAAATTTACCACAACCCACATAGATGAATATGGCTGTATTCCAGTTTAAATACTGAAGAAAACGCTGTAATTTTAGATTAAAATAGAAGTACTACTCTTATCGCTTTTCAAACCTTGGGTTAAAATCAAATGTAATCAAGTATTCATGTCACCAAAACATTTTGATTCATGCAGCACAGATTAGTATATTTAAATCACACTGGGCTTCCATCTTTTTGCAGCCCCAAAGAGAGCCTTCTAGTCCAGTTATATATACTGTGAACTGTTTTGAAGCTGCTCCAAGTTTAACACACGGGACATAATGCAGCAATGCTGTTAAGCTAAGGCCACCTAAAACTCTATTAAGTACTGGAAACTATCTACTATTCTAGACAGCAGTTACCAACTGCGATACATAAATCTTTGTGCTCTGGACAATGGATGTCAGCCAACCATTTTTGCTCCTCCAGGTCCAAATAATAAATCCTCACATATTTTTCAATTGCCCCTAAGACTTAGAAGGAGAGGGAACTTTTGAGAAAAAAGCTTGAATATTAGCGCAAACAAACCATTATTGTCGTAAGTATTCAGCATCTGATTAGGTTGGGGCTTTTTTGTAAACCAATTAAAATAATTTTGGACATCAATACTGTAAGGATATCACATAAATAATTTTTTAAATAAATGAACGTTAAGTTCCACAGCAATTCTACAATGTTTAGGATATTACAATTAAAATGCTGCATGAGTATTAAGGCTATGTGTTGAAAAATATGCTGCTTATGCAGTTTAAGGATGGCAAAATAAATTTCCAAATGTTCTACAGAATAAATAAAACCTCAAGCATATTCCCTTGCTTTTTTGCAATTGTTAAAATGTAAATGAATTCACGACATCACCTCATTCTCATACTAAAATGAAAAAAATGCAACCACCAGTAATGGAAACAAGCCAGTTTTAGGAAAGATATGTCTTGGATGTCAGCTCCAGAAACCCCCCAAAAGCATGGCTAAATCCGAATGTGACAAAGGAGGGAAATCTTTAAATAAACGAGATATTATCAGTACTTCATTTAATTTTAATTAAATCAAATCTAGAGTTCATCTTGGTCCAGTCTACATACAGGAATGAACTATCGTCATGCTACTTAACTTACATTACATTCCCTACCAGAATCTCATAAAGAGTATCAGTGTTTATAAATGCTGTATTTACTTATTACAAAAAGTGGCATGCCGCCTACTCTGAGTATACAGCTAGACTCAAAAGGACATTCTCAGGCAGCCCTAGTAGTTGCTTCAGTATAGCAGCTCTCAAGAGTACATTGATGCAAACTATTTTATAGAAAACTGAATTCGAAAAATTCCAAATGTGCACAGATGAAGCAATCAAAAATAACACAAAGCGAAGGATTTTCCTAAGGGATTTTTAAAACATTATTTGATTATTTTGTCTTACCTGGGGACTCTGGTATATTCCTCAGTGCCAGGTAAACCCAGCTGTCCATCCACAGCAAAACCCCAGGCATAGACTTGGCCCTTGTCATTTAATGCTAACGTGTGTGCTTCTCCGCATGAAACAGTGACAATGTTTTGAGCATCCAAGGCACCAACCTGCTCTGTAATTATCAGTAAAAAGTGGCATTTTATATTAAACAATGGAAATAACAAAAAAGTATGTGCTTACAAACAAATCAGGTCCATTTTATACCAGTTCTGGCCTAAAATAATTCACAATCTGAGAAACCTGTGTCTACTTATTGCATCTAGCAAGGTCTGGATTTTTCATTCTCCGGGATAAGTTTCAAATCCCTATATATTTTCACTCATGGTAAAAACAGCAGCTTCATTAATTTATTGAGTTTTTCTTTAATCAGAAAACTGACAAGGGTTAAATTCTCTCCCTTGTGCCACAGGAACACAATCAGGAGATCACTGAAGCCATTACTAATTAAAAAAACAGAGAAAGGAGACCCTAAACACTGATCTTCTTGAATTAAAGTTAGTTATACCTGCAAATGATTTTCATACGGTTGAAAGCTAAGATCTGAATTGTTTCTAGAGACTATAATATCTAAATTGTTGCTCCAAGACCTTGGGCATCAGTAGCGAATATCATCACAAAATATAACAAACACTGAATATTATACCACCATTGCCCACATAAGCAGTTAATACACAGAGGATTTAACAATAAAAACTATGCCCCATTACCCTCCCCAGAAAACAAAACTGAATTAGAAGATTCATTCTTCCAAAATTTTCCAGACTATAATAAAGCATTTTGGCATTTTTGGCATTTTCTTCAAATATAATACTAAGAGAATTTCACTCAGAGACTGTGATATAAAAGTTAAAAAGAAAAAAAGTAGTTGCCTTTCTTTTTAAGGATCCATTAGTTATTCAGATTAGCCAAAACATTTCAAGGACTACTAGTGTGCCATACTTCCCAAGAAAAGAATTCTGTAGAAACTCATGGATTATTTTTGTAAGGTAAAGCTAAGCAAAATTTATTTTATCACTGCCACTGGTGTGCTGGATCTTCCAAAACATCTGGGTGCTATTTTATCAGATTTTCAGCTTTTGAACTTAAATTGATTGGATTTAATCTACCTCAACTATGAAAAACAAAATAAACAAAATAGTGGGGGTTTTTTCCTTTTAAAACATGCGGCTACTGTACTGGGAAGGACATAATCCTATATATATATATAATCCTATA